AAAAAAAAAAAAAAAGGTAGTTCATGTCAAAGGTCATAAAAGGATGTTCAAGGTGATTTTGCAGAACTGGCCCTAAAGTCTGGTAAGATTTTTATTTTTATTTTATTATTTTATTTTATTTATTTTGAGAGAGAGAGAGAGAGAGAGAGAGAAAGCACATGTGTGAGTAGGAAAGAGGGGCAGAGAGAGAGGTGAAAGAGAATCCCAAGCAGGCTCTGTCTCCTGTCAACACAGAGCTCGACACGGGGTTTGAACCATGACCTGAGCTGAAATCAAGAGTTGGACACTTAACCAACTGAGTCACCCAGTCACTCCTAAAATTTGGTAAGATTTTAGGGGCACCTGGGTGGCTCAGTTGGTTAAGCATCCAACTTCGGCTCAGATTATGATCTCACAGTTTGTAGGTTCGAGCCCCATGTCGGGCTCCGTGCTGACAGCTCAGAGCCTGGAGCCTGCTTCAGATTCTGTGTCTCCCTCTCTCTCTGACCCTCCCCTGCTCACGCTCTCTCTCTCGGAAATAAAACATTAAAAAAAATTTTTTTTAATTTGGTAAGATTTTAGAGAACATTCATCTTGAAAGAAGGAAGTTTATTCCAAGCAGGGGAAATTGCATGAGCTGAGGGGCAGAACCTCACAAAGTCAGAACACAGTAATTCATCTGTATTGGCTGAAGCACAAAGAGTGTTTAGTAGAAGAAAACTGGGCAGGGAGGCTGTTCTGACTAATAGGGAACCACAAGGGGCTTTGTTATTTAGGAGTTGAGAAGACAATGCTGTGAAGTCCTGAACTGAAGAACGGAGATTATCTCCAGGTTGGATGTTACTATGGAGCAGGGAAAAGAACACTGGACCAGGGAGTTAGGCAACTTGTACCTGTGCCTATAGGCACAAGCTCATACAGCAGGTCACTTCACCACTCTGGGCACCAGCTTCCTCAACTGCAAAACAGAGGCTGGAGATGAGCTATTAAAGTCTAAAATTCAGGCTGGGAAGCCACTCCAATTGTTCAAGCATCAGATGCAAGGGATGAGATAAACAGATGGTTACAACAGGAACAGGAAGGTAGGCACAGAATAAAGCTTAAGACAAAAGCCTTAAACAGAACATATATGAAGAAATACAGCTGCATCTATGCATTATTTGTCCTGAAAACAAAACACACTAAAATTAGAAGACTACCTGTAGACGATCAACATGAACTTTGACTCCTCCAACCATTCCTTTTTTAAAGGCTGCCAACATATCTAATATGGGGTTGAATCGGCTACCTCTAAAAAATATAAACAGACAAACAAAAGGTGATTAACAACAGAATTAGAAAAAATCTAATACTAAGTGTCTTTTACATATGCAAGTCACTCTGCCACATGCTGACAGAGATAAAATAGGAGAAAGCCCTGCTGCCAAAGGGTTCACAGTGTTAAAGATGGTAAGATGGGCATACCTCACTTTTTTCATCAACCTACCGTATATTGTCTTCCCGGATGAGAACAAGGAAAAGTGGACGTCCATGCATTTTCCAGTATTGCTTAATGAACTGTAGTGCATTCTATCAAAACAGAAGAGTGAGGTAGAATGTAATGGTACCATATCTGAGCTGATCAGGATGTTTAACCAGTCATGGCAAAGAGCCAACAAAACTCTCATACATCAAAATAATTCACAGTCAAATCCTAGATAGTATAGACTAATAGGGGTAGAAATGTTCTGATACATACATATTACAAGTATGATCATATACAAGTTAAGTTTGAAACTTCTTTGATTTTAAACTTTATTCTTAGAAGTAATCAGATTGTAAATATTTTAAGGCTGCTCTTTTTTGGTGGCCTAAAAAATACAGTTCAAGAATGGTCCCAGGGGGAAACAAAAATGAGAGACAAATCAAGAAATTGAGACTTAAATACAGAAAACAAACTGATGGTTACCAGAGGGGAGGTTGGTAGGAGGATGAAATGGGTGATGGAGACTAAGGAGGGCACTTGTTGTGATGAGCACCCAGTGATGTATGGAATTGTTGAATCACCACATTGTACACCTGGAACTAATATAACACTGTATGTTAACTATACTGGAGTTAAAATAAATACTTAAAAAAGAAAAAACAAAGAATGGGAGGAAAAATCAACTCAGGGTTGTCTTTTAGAAGATTAATCTTCACTCCACAGTATTGTGCATTTATTATAGCAGATAGAAGACCCTAGACAGAATCTATACAGACCATCAGAAATGTGGAAAGAGGTGTTTTTTTTTTTTGACTCAATTTCTACTGTTGTCGTTATCATCATCATATCAAAGACTTACATAACACTTCACCATATGTCAGGCGCTATTCTGAGTGCTTTACATACTCATTTAATTCTCAGAATATCCTTATTATTATTCAGTTAAATAGATGAGAAAAGAGACACAGAGAAGTTAAGTAACTTGCCAGAGATCACACAGATAGTAAATAAACAGTAGAGACAAAATCTTAATAAATGTAATCTGGCTCTAGACTTTATGCTCTCAACCATGACTCTAAGCTTCTCTACCTTGCACATGGAAAAGGGAGTTGAGGAGACTTTTAACTGAGTGGGTGTTACAAGTTAGTTGAAGTTTTTTTTGACATTCTTAATAAATATAATTATTTTGCTAACTCAGCTTTAGTTCAAAAAGAGAAAAGCTACTGCTGCCATATGAACGTGATGCCCCCTCTGCTTTATAAACTATATATTTTCATTCCATTTGTAGAATGGTCTATCAAGCAAAGGCATACAACTTTATATAAAACATACTTCATTTATTATTCTATGCTGCAGGCAATTTAACTCTTTCTCCAAAGCTACACAGACATTGTGTTACTTTCATATTTTGTACTGTGTTAACCCAGTGTCACAGACAAGCAGGAGCACTCAATTTAATAACATATGATAAAATCAGAAACAAAGTCATCCAATTTCAGTAAAAAGGGGCTCTGAAGCTACCTTTATGTCATCTATCAGCAGTAAAACATCTTGAGACATGTAGAAATCACTTAGGTCAAAGATGATAGGGTAACAAACCACAGTCTTTCCTAGAATGCGATATATCTGTAAAAGATAATTAAAAAAAAAATATATATATATATGTAACAGAACCAAAGACACAGGCACAGCAGCATAAGTCCTAATAAAAATTAAAACTGATTAAGAAATTTTAAAGTTTCTTATCAGTGAGATCAGTATACTAATAGAGCAATCCACCTCTACTGTGATGGAAAAAGCTTCTGTTTGAATAAAACTTCAAAGTTTTATTTGAATAAAACTACAATGTTCAGAAACAATACAGCAGTAAGATGCTTATTCATCTAGTCTAGAAGACTTCTGTGATATCATACAAAATAAATAGTAAGATTTACTTGTAGAAAATAATAATTCAGATAATCAGCCTAAGTACATAATGAAACATGAGAATGGATGCATAGCAGGTTACACATCATTTCATTCTGCGGTTTTATAATCTGAATACTGCTCCACAAGAAATTTCATAAGCACCTTTGATGTACCGAGGCAGCCAATGGGCCTATCTGGCCTTCCGGAGAGTCCTAATTTTTCATTGATACCCAGGTGGAAATAAGCCTGTAAGACATAAATTTATAAATCAGTTAGGCAAGAAGAATTCATGCTTTTCCTTTTTGTCCCCTATGTCCCCCTTATGCCCTGCTAACGTCTGACCTTTCCAGAGCAAAAATGGCCAGGGAAACCTTATTCAATAGATTCGTAGGAAAACAAGCCAGCCAATGATGTAAACCTAGATTTGGGGACACTGAGAGATTTGAGTACATATCTTTGCAGATCTGCTTAGCAACATTCTAAAATTTTACATTGTTCTTGTGCTATCATAAGTGTACAACTTACATGGCTCTGTCCAATTCATAAAAGAACACAAAGAGACAAATGTTTCCTGTGTGATAAAAAATCTGATTAAAGTTTTAAAATTCAGGGCCTCACATCTCCTACTAGATTCTGACTTTCAAGTATTTCCCACAAAAATGGAACGCATCTTTATTGATTTTTATGATCATATGAATTTTATGAAAAATTTAAGCCATGTGCTCCAAGTGAATGGTGCTGTTTACTCTCACAACCCCATAGGTAACAACTCTTGCATTTTGATGTATGTTGAAGGAAGTGTAAGTTATTGTGTGAGCCCTAAAAAACAGGTGAAGTATAGACAGAGTTACAGATTTTAAAGTACACAGATAATTATATGTCCATATTACACACATAAATCAATACGTATATATTTACATAAATTGGTTTATAGACTATATATATCTATTTGGTGTCCTAGTTGTTAAAATTCAGTACTGTGGTGTTCCAGTTTCAAGATGGTAAACTGAGTCTATGCATTTACTGTACATTTCAATGCTGAAATGACAGAAGAAATATAAAGATCTGGAAAAATATCTGTAACACTCATTACTGTAAAACAGAAAAGGGTGCCACAGTGGAGAAGAAACTTCTGGAATTTCTACAAAGTAGAACATAGACTTGGATTGAATCAGATGTTAATCAGTGCAAGAACTGAGCACTTAATCCAATAAGAAGCTTCCTTACCCAATTCTATTTAACACCTATCCCTTGATGAAGGTAGTTCCCAACTTTTTGCTATGTCAAAACTAATTCAATAAACATCTCTGGATGGTGTACTATTGTTTCTGTAGGATAATTTCCTAGACTAGCTGGATCAAAGAGAATATATGTTTTCTTTACGATATAATGCCAGATTGGTCACCCTGTAAAAATAATGGACCAATTTACCTTGGCATTAACTGTGCATAGGCCTTTTTCTTGGGTGAAAATGATATTTAATCTTAGTTTTAAACTACTGAATTCAGATAATTTATGGTTGACCATTTTCCCATATATTTAATGGCTACTTGTATGTTCTATAAAGTTTCCCATTTGTTCTACTGGGCACACTTAATTCTTTTTTGATTTGTAAGAGGTCTTGGTATACTAAGAATTTTACCCTTTGTATAAATATTTTACCCAGTTTCTTCATCTTCAATGTTGTGATGAAATTTGAGAATAATTGCATAGTAGGTCAAACATCATTTCAGCATGTAGTATTTTAATCTACACACTTTTCTACTAGGAAATTTCACAAGCACCTTTGATGTGCCAGGTTCATCTTCAGCTATATTTAGTCAAATGTGTCAATCATTTCCTTAATGGCTTTTTTAGCACTGGTATTATTCTAAGAATGGACTTTCACTCTAAACAGCTGTAAACTGCTCTTCTATTTTTAATTCCAGCAATTTTATACTTAAATCATTTTTTAAAAAATAAGTAAAACCTTGGTTTGTGAGCCCAATTAATTCCAGAAACATGCTTGTAATCCAAAGCACTTTTGTAACTGCTCTTCTATTTTTAATTCCAGCAATTTTATACTTAAATCATTTTTTAAAAAATAAGTAAAACCTTGGTTTGTGAGCCCAATTAATTCCAGAAACATGCTTGTAATCCAAAGCACTTTTGTATCAAAATGAATTTAAAGAACCATTGGCTCAGCTGTGATCATGTGACACTCGGCATCATGTAATACTTGTACTGCAAGATACTGCTCATGTATTAAGTCATCTCTTTCTGCACCGTTATGTCCCTACAGAACAGCATCCCCTGGGTTGGTTGGCACTCTGCCTGGTGTATAGCTGGTGCTCAGGAAACACCTGATGGATGAATGAGAGAGCATGTCCTCCCGAGCTAGATGTGCTATGAAATCTGATTCTGGAATAGCTCTGGTTGTACTGGCCAGGAAAAATACTATATAAACCTCAGTATATATGCTGCATTGAAACTATCTCAAACTATGCTAGATAGAAATCCCTTTCCCTCAAATATTTTCAAATTTTCCGAAATAAATGTATGTCTAAACTATTTTAGATCTCATCTTTTGGACAAGTGATTAATTAACCATGTACAAGTTAAAGTGTACTGATATAGCTTTCCTTTAAATAATTGATAGTAAAAGGATTTTCCTTAACTTTCTGAACCACAGTACAGCAGGTCTATGACAGGTAAGTACACAGACCTGGAATGCTCCCTGCATCCACTGTGCATACAATACTGTCCCCACATTGTTCGTATTTACACCACTTAATCCACTGAAATAGGATATAGTAATGGCTAAACAACCCAAAAGTACAGAAGTACTTCATCTTAGGTCCGCACTATATTCATATTCCCCATGAAGCAAAAACTACACCAATCACTGCATCACGAAAACTTAACTACACTCAGTAAAAGCCCTGTCCTCAGCTGTCTGCCCTCACATACTCTTAAGTTGGTTGAAGGAGGGTGCAGCACCTCAGAACAGAAAGGTTAGCCATTGGCATAAGAATATGTATATTAACTAAGATTTGAGGGAACACTTTTACTTTTAAAAGATGGAGTTATTATTGAGTAATATATAGAACTGTCAAGACACTATATTGTGCACTTTAAACTAATATTACACTATATGTCAACTACACAGGAATTAAAATTTTTTTAAAGGTGGGCTTATAAGAAGCAATGTACTAGGAAGTATATCTTAGAGGACAAATCCCAAAGAGCAAGCAGTTAGCTTGGAACACAGAGGCTGTAGCCGTAGAAATCTTCCATCTTGAAACATGCTTAGGGAAGTTAGGTTCTTGGTCCCAAATCTCGTTTTAACTATGCCACATACCCAAACTCTAAACCATTTTTTCACATCATCTTTAAAACAACAAAATATAAAATATGTAAGGACCAGTTATAAGTTTTCACCTTACTCTTAATGGAATGCTTTCTACCACCTCCACAGTACCTTGTATAAACTCATCAAAGTGGATTATAATTAGTTATTTTTCCTGTCATACCAATAGACTCAGAGTTTACTGAGAACAGGAACAGAGTATAGAGCCATTTTATCTGAGTGCCCCACACAAAACTCTGCACATAGCAGGTGTTCATTAATGAATGAATAAAATGCCACATTTAAGTGATTTGGAGCCATGCTGGTCTTTTAAATCCTGACTGTGTATTGAGTACTGACTCACCTACCATAAAAAGTTGCAATATAAATTAGGCCTGAAAAAACCAGATTCAGGTTAATTTGCTTTGAGCACATGTTTATCAAAGAATAATAATCTTTGTTACTATTCTCTGGAGCTTTCAGTGAAGAACCATAAAAAGTTTAACATAGCCTATAACTGATTAATAAATGCAGTGTTAGAGCGTTAGATTTTCTCCACTTACCTGCTGTCTCTTCTGCTTGTTTTGTGGATCCTCAGTTCCTCTCCTTTTCTACCACATCTTCGCGTGTTTTTAAAGTGGAACCTACTCTAGGGATCCTTGCATTTTCAGCCTTTGCTCTTTAATCTGGGTGGGAAGAGCTCTAAATTTGTTAGAGGAGGTTAAAGAGCTCTCAAAGAGCTGGTGTTCCGGGTGATCTGACACCCAGATTTTTTTTTTGTTGCCAATGGATAGGGTCCAGTCTGATTAACAGTGATGTTCTGAGGCTCTGCTTTCTCCCATACAATGTGCACCTCACTTCTCTAAGTTTTTCTTCTTTGCTGTAGCATCAAAACTTTGACCACATACATTTTTATCAACCTAAACGAGCGGATTTTGATCATTTGAGAGAGAGAATTCTAAACACTTACCCCAAACACTCCAGAGTTTGTTCCTATAATGTTTTTAATAATTACTAAGTAAAAGTGGTAGTTTATAAATAGTGGAAGTCAACAATTTCTTGTCCCTAATAGGCAGGAATATTCCTAAACAAGCATTTCCAAATCCATCTGCAGAGCAGTGCTTGCAAAGACCCTAAAAGTCACCTTTTAATCCAATTCAGATAGGTATGGAACTGCATTCAAGATAAACTCAGATGTTACTTTATAATTACTTTGAAACCCAGCAAACCAAAAGTATAGGAATTACTTCAGACTCCAAATGGTAAGGCAAGAGAAAGAGGGAAGTAATTATTACAAATAAATATTTACAAGGTTTTTAAAATAGTTAATGTAAGGGAAAATTATCAAACCCAATGTAAAGATTAATTTTATACACAAGTACTAAAATTAAGGTTAATTCATTATTCAAGTGCTCAGTCTAGGTCAGTAATAGACTTTAGAAGGGAGTAAGAATCAACAAGGCTTACGAATATAATATATATACAATGTAGGGTTGTTGTATTTTTGGCGGGGGGGGGTTGTTGTTTTTAGTTAATAATGTCTGAAGTAGGCTTCTCAACTTAATTAGAAAGACTTTTGGATTAATGACCCTATTTCAGAATCAGACTTTAACTATGCTACCTGATTGTAAACTAAGTCTAATAATCATGCTCTAGCACCTCCACAAAGTCAGCAGTAAAGAAGCAGAATCACTTACCTTCACCAGCTCCTGCTGAGCCCAAATTTGCATGGGCTCTACCTGTTGAGGTGTTTGAGTCTGAATACCATATGTGTTGAGGAAAACTTGAAGGCTAAAGAAAATGGGGAAAAAGTGAGAGAGTTTTAGGCAATGCATGTAGAGTATGGAGAATGGTGGAAGAGAAGGAGGAAGAAAGAGAGGAGATGATGCTAGCTTGGAGAATGTTTTCATTTATTCACATGAGTAATATGCCATCTGCCCTGGGTTCCAGAGGCCCTCTTGGGTTCTTCACAAGGCATCAGATAGGAGCTCTGAGGGCTGGCAGAAAGAGTAAGCACTGATTTTGAGAATCCCATTATCTGTTGCACTACTTTTCACAACTACACCCTAGACAGCACTGGCACAGGTCATGGTCTTTAATATTCACTTCAACTAAAACAAAATTTTTTTAAACATAAGAAAATTGTTGTTCTGACAGACATCCTTTAAACCCTGTCATGGGGTCTATGAAATTAATCTCTGCCAAGAGATTACTTTCCTCCTCCCAAAGGAACACACCACCCATCTGGTTTTCATACCGTTGGCTTTCTGCTATGAGTGCTACGTGAACAACCAAATCATTTTCCAGTGGGCCCTGTAATACAGAATAAGGGAGGGGGGGGAAACATTTTAAAATATCTGGTCATTATTAGATGCAATGAGAATCAAGGACAATATTAACCATCTCTAAGCAGTTCATTAAAATGATGGACATCTACTGGCTCCACGCAGTCACCTCTCTTTCCTTGCTCTCCACTACCTAATAATCAATTTGATGGTGTAGACAGAGTAATGGAACACCAAGGAACAGAAAGCCATAAATCTCACACTGCTACCAGAGGGGCTAGCCTGTCAGGACTATTTTGAATGATGCATAAGAGTAGTCTGAGGACTGAAAGTCATTTTCCATCATTTAACTCTGAAGGGAAAGGGAGGAACTAAAAATAAAAACCCAGCTTATATATTCTCTATTAAAAACGATCGTGAGTTAAATTTGTTCATTTGACATCTTAACCACATATAAGGCTGTTCTCTTTCTTGTTAGCCAATTTTCCTTTGGCACCTATACATTAAAATAGCTTTATTCTAATATATAAATCCTATACTAGAGAATGAACTACCTAGTTGACTATGCAATTAACACTTTGTTCATTAAATACAAGCTGTTGAGCTTAATAGTTCTAATCAAAGGTAGTGTTGGATATTTGCTATTCTTTTCTGTGTGTATGGAAAAGATTCACTATAGCATATATTATACACTGCTAAAATGAACCCAATTTTGAGCCTGTATTAATTAACAGAGAACATTAAGAAGCATCAATAAATTACAGTATTAGGAAGCTCTGAAAATACTGATCAAATATAATTTCCTTTATAGTAATGAATCCAACATTCCCAATAGTAATGCTGTAAAATGTTTGATTTACCATCAGTCAGTTCTCCTCTATGGTATTCAGTATGTCACCAGAATTTATGTATGATGGAAAGCAAGAAACACCAGAATACATATATCAGCAGTAAATATCCTACAATCAAAAGGATGGTTCCCAGAATCATCGTGAAAATGCCATTTCAGGCAGACTTCCATATGATTTAAATGAATATATAAGAGAAAATATGATATAACAACCCAACAAAAATAAATACACATTAAAAATGCCATAAATTCTATTTTTATTTGATAAAGATCTTAAAAGTTAGTGTTACTCAGAAGGATGAGAAAAAATTAATTATTCAGAATCTCATCAAGATTTCCAACCATAAATGAACACATTAAGTCTTATTTCTCTCAAATGAAATCTAGTATTTACTTCATCAAATGGAGTAACCTTAGAGTGGGCAATTATCTACAATCTTCAAGACAATTAAAGACTCTTAAATAAAAAACAAATGAATTACATATACAAGAATGTGGATTTTATTTCAGTAACAATAAATAAGACAGCTTACATATCCTAATTGGCAAATTGGTATCTTCTTTTTGAATCACAGACCTGTTTAGGATAATGCTGTTCCTATTTGTATGACATAGTACTCAGATCTAAAATGGACACTACACATGTTGAATTGTAATGAGTATTTGGTTAGGGGACTATTAGATGGTTGAAGAAGTCTTTCATTGCAAAAACTAGCATTTCAGAAAGTTCTAATTCACAAACCTTCCATGCTGATCTTAGGCCTTCAACCCACAGCCCAAATAGGACCTTTCACCTCATTTCTACCCAAAGAAAGAATTCAGCATGGGCAATCCCACCCCAGCAATTCTCTTCCTTTCATTGCCAAAGTTGAAACCATCTTTTCTGTTTTCACCATTTTCTTCAAAGCACCAGCATTGTTGTCTAAACCCATGAAGTCTCTCTGAAAACATCCTCATAGAAATTAATATCTTCTATTTCTGAATGGTATTTCCCTTAATATTACTATAACATTTTCTGCTTTTAGGTTCATGAAGTACACACATGTATCTATGCATATAGACACTGAAGGCCTATATAGTACTGGTATTCTACATTTTACATGTATTTATGTACTCATTAAGGCATTCTAATATACAAGGCCTCATGTTAGGCCCCGATGTTGCATGAGGAAAACAACCCAGTATCCCTCCATGAGGAGTTTAGAGTGTATTGGGACAGATGAACAACAGGTATTTATTATCACATATTTATTATCACATAAAAGTATTCCACTGATAGCTTCCTTTAGTAGTATAGACTTACCTTATTTTTGAAAAAAAAAAATGGCTACAGGACATTACATTATATGGACATACCATAATTTATTTAAGAAATGTTTATTTTGATGGACATTTAAGTGGTTTCCAATATTTGACTTCTGCAGAGAATGATATAATCATTGTCCTTATCTTGGAGAATTGCTGAGGATTTAGGGAGAGAACTGTGTTGCTAAGCACAGTATTTGCACATAACAAAAATAAAGGGTCTTAATACTTGCTACAGTTGTACTTATTATTTTCACAGCTATTCTAGGACAGCTGCTTCTGTCTTCCTTGTTGAGATTTGCTGTAATACTTGTGTCACCTTAAATCTTATTGGCTTCCACCATTCTAAGACCATCCATTATCACATTTTTGTATGGCTAGTTCTTCTGTAAATAATTCCAAACATCTTTTAAAAGAAATCCTCAGGTGATATTCCACTTTCCAATTTTTTTCTCTTTTTATTTCTCAAGCATACACTATAGCTATTTTATCATCTTTCTTGCCTCTATAATTCTTCACTCTGCCTTCTAACCTACTTTGCCTTTAGAGATGGAAATTCTTACACTTAAGTTCTTGGTCTTCTACTCATTACACTTCCTTCTTTTTCTCTGTCTCTCTCACCAAATTCAATCACTCTGGTAGCTTTAATTATCTCTTCTAAGCAGATGATTTCATATTTATATTTCTAGTCTTGAACTTTCTCTGAGTTCCAGTGCCCATATTTTTAAGTGCTTTCTGGACATTTTCTCTTGGTTATTTCCAAAGGTAAAACTCAACTCCTCACTAACCCTATCGCCACGTCAGACAGGCTCACTTCCAGCTCAGAATGTCAGAATTATCTTTGACTCTTAATTATTACCTTCCATATCCAATTTTTTATCAAAATCCTGTTAATCTTTCTTTCATAAAGTGTCTTAAACTTCCTTTCTATAGTGATATTCAGAATTGGAAAGTACCAATGATAGCAACAAACACTTTACATAACATTTGACATTCTATTGTGCAGGGTACTGTTCTAACAAACCATTGTTTTATAATAACAAATCATTATTCCCATTTTCCAGATAATAAACTGATGCAAAGAAAGCTTAAGTAACCCATCCAAGGTTACAGAGCTAGCAAACAGCTGGGCCAGAATTTAGATTCAGGCAGTTTGACTGCAGTCTGTGCTCACCCTCACTCACTTATTCTGCCTCTCAAAGAATGGAAAGAGGGTAGGTGTTAGACTTGAAAGATCCACATACAAATCCTATCTTATTATCTGGTCCTGTCATGATCCAGGTCATCTAATAGATCCCTTAAATTTGTTATGGACAAGACCAAACCACTTAATTCCATCCTTAAAACCATTCATCCTCAAAATATTTCTTATTGCTTTAAGGCCCCACACTATGTACTCATTTGATCTGCCCCAAAATGTGTAAGTCATTCTTAATTCCTTTTTCCTTCAGATCTCCTAACCAATAACAACAACAACAACAACAACAACATAACATTTATTGAGGACCATGTAACCATAGTAAATTAGTTACTCATTGAAACACCCATAGTAGGTGGTTACTATTATTATTCTCATTTGCTGATGAGACAATTGAGGCATGGAGTAGGTAAAAACTTAGCCAATTATCACATAGATAATAAGTGGGAAAGGGGGAATTCAAATCTGGGCAATCTCATCTATCTCTTAATCATTATAGTGTCTGCCTATCTAATGTGCAAATTCACCAATCAGTTGTATCAGCTCTACCTTTAAAGCAAGAGTCAAACACATCACTTCTGTCCACCTTCACCACTGCTACCAACCTCTACTCAGTCACCATGATCTTTCACTTGATCAATTAACTGTTATTACTACCTCAGTCTTGCCCCACCATGCACAGCAGCCCATCCTGCAAACAGCAATGAGGATGCTTTTATTAAGAAGTGGCATTTGTTGGGATGAGCACTGGGTGTTACATGTAAGTGATCAACCTCTGGGTTCTACTCCTAAAATACTACACTGCATGTTAACTAACATGAATTTAAATAAAAAATTTTTTAAAAAGTATAAATCATACCATCTCACCACCACCTCACTCCACCCCGCCCCCATGGATACATACATGGACACTCTGTTTTTAATTCTCCAATGGTTTCCTATTGCCCACAGAATAAGAACCAAACTGTTTACCATGACCTACCAGGCATGCATAATCTACCTCTGGCATAGCTCTTCTTTCTCATTCTCCCTCCCTTCCTTCACCATGTTTCAGCCACAAGGTGTTGTGTCTGCCCCTTGAACACGCCAGCTGTGTTCCTATCACTGGGCCTCTGCACTTGCTGACCTTATTTGGAATGTTTTTCCTTCCAATTGTTTTGTGAATGCCTTCTTCTTATGCAGGTCTCAGTCATTCTCTCTACCACAGCCAACCCCTTTCTATCACTTTACCTTACTTTGTCTACTTCATAGTACTTACCAGCTCCAGAAATTATATTACGTTATTTATACAAATGTTCAGTATTATTCATTCCCATCAGAAAGTAACCCCCTGAAGACAGGAACCTTGATCTATATTTATCCATTGTTATGTCCCCATTGCCTAGAAGAGGCAATGTTTCCTCGTTGGTAAGCTGGAATAAAAGTATCTACTTCATAGGATTATGGGGATAATATAGAGCACATATAAGCATATAACAGAGTATCTCACATATCCTCTTAAGTGTTTAAAAAACATTAGCCTTCTCATCAACTCCAGAAATACAACCACAATCCTGAATTACTATAATACATTTCCTTGACTTTCTGTTTCATACTTGCCTCTGCCCATCTTCTGTACTTTATCTGGTCAAGCTAAGTTTCTTATATCAGTGATTTGCACAAAGGAAGTGGTCAA